CGCCGTCCGGGGACCCGGCGATGCACCCGCGGCCACGAGGTGATATTCGAGAACTAGACTATGGGGGAGAGTAAGAGCTGTGTGAGGGGGCTGTACGATAATATGGATTAAAAATATATTATGAAATGGAGTTCTGGATAGCAGAAAGAAGGGGTGATAAAAAAAGGGGGGGCACATGAAGGAAAAAGGGGGGGATAGGTAGAACTCTGCTCTTTTTAAGGTCATCTCTTAGACGCAGCTAAGATGCTCGCCTATGTTTATAAATATTTTCAGGAGACAGTTTTTGATGTCTTATTCTGAACGCATATATATATATACTGGTTGGGGTATAAGGGGAAGAGATATGTATACTTCCTAGTTGGTTAGATATGTGGCTTATTAGTTGGCATTGACGAATCTACACTACTCGATTTTCAATCGATAAGCTGCTCTACGTTGCTGTTGCCGACTGTTTAGTAGAGGGAAAGAAACCGTCAATACCTATTAACCTTACGGGGAGCATCGCGCCTAGCATACTCGTAGCTTACATAGTCCCGGGTCTTATATCTCAGAGACCATCTAGTAAATAGCAATGCGTTATTCCAACACGTGATATATAACCAAGTTCTTGCTTGCCCCATATCAATAAGAGAAAAATCTATATGCTACGTCTTGTAGGGAAAACCCCCCTCTCCTAAGACTCACAAGTGGAGATGCAATGTGTCTGTCTAGACACCACGGTCTTGATCTCGTATATCTCGTATTCTACTGGAAAGCTAGTTATGCACACCAAATAGCTTATTGGTGTAGGCTACTCCTCGCTAAGTAGTATTTTATTGAGCCGGGAGCGAGACGGGAATAGCAAATCCCGAGCCCGAAAACGAGAACGAGGTTGCCGATATACGCGGGTTGACGGGGTAACTTAGAACTACTTAGTATGCACTTGGCATTTTGAATGTCCTTCAATAGGACGTTGGTAGTGATTTTCGATAGAGCTGTGTAAGAATCCGTGACCAGTTGAAGGTCCTAACTTATGTATAGTGTCCATTTTGCTGTCTGCAAATTTGTATATTCCTATCCCCTCCCCTATTCTCAAATATCATGTGTCAGTCCTTGTGTCGGCAATACGCTTTTGTATAATCTTTTCTAGGTGTAGTTGATTTACCTTTGTCAATATAGAATACATGGTAAGTCCTATATGCCTTCTAGTGTTGTTAACTTGTCCTCGAAGCATACTAGCAATTCGTTGGTCTTAGAGATACTAGGATATTATTCCGTTTTCATATCAATATTAAATTGGCATTTACATGTTAAAGTAAATAATTTGATATCTAGCTCATCCTTCTCTTTCTTTTACTACTCGTCCTTCCGACTTAATTGTATATTTTATTACACTTCCTAAAACTGATTGCTATATATACAAATTGAAATGACAACATGGCTAGTAAATAGAATATCTTACATTTAACACGAGGGCGAGTCGTTTCTACAATTATATCTAGGAGATTCGATATACATACTAGTTTTTAGGGAGTTTGGTTATCGACTTGGTATTGGTGATCTAGTTAGAAAGAGAAGAAGAAAAAATAATCAACTTTATCTGAACACGTCACTTTCTCTCCTAGATACATGAAATTTTATTAACATAGCCATGTGGTTTTTCCTTCTTCTATAACGCTCATTGTTCTAAGTAGGAAATGCTTATTTTTACTACGTTTGACCAGTATCATAGTTCTACTAAGAAAAAACGGTTTAGATACGTGCAACTCTCCTTGGTTGCGCTATTCACCCGATACATCCATGTAGGATGAATAGAAATGTATTCAGCCTCATTTACAGATATTATAGGGAAGAGACAAAAAATGCACTTATGAAATCTAGTTTGTCCTGATGCCGGCGGCACTGCCACTCTAATATCCGTCTCATAAAAAGAACTGATGTCCTGACTATTAGTTAAGTATTGTATTATACGCGAGGGCTATTGGCTTGGGGAAAGGCTATCTGAAAAAGAAGCAAAGGTATAGTGAGTGACATGAGCCACTTTATTCTACCACAGGATGGCCTACGGGGAGGCCTCACGGCTAAGAGAATGTCACCCTGTAGCGGGCTGGACTGCTGCTGTGTACCCAAGATTAGGCACTTACATACTTACATTAGTCCAAGCCACGCCGAGTAGTAGAACGCCCCGAGCGACACCAGCTTCCAGACGCAATAGAATTCGGCCTTGCGAACATAGCCTGCAGGTGTGATAACGCCTAATGCCATCCTAATTGCTTCACGCCGCCCGGATACTATGAAGGTAGGTAAACCTATATGGTTGTGGAGGCGCGAGAATAGCCGTTTATCACAACGGCGCTGAAACGAAATAACCAAGGAGCTTCGTGGGCCACTTCTGCTTATTGCGTTTCTATCTCGATCTGCGATTCCCGCATCATTGCTCGTCGCGCTAGAGAGTCATGAAAGAAGCCCCATGGAAGGCTTCCACGCTTCCTTTCATCGGGCGTGGAGATCAGGGTTTCTCGCGTGGCCAGTGGATACCGAATCTGATTTTTGGGAGAGTAGTAAATTTTTTTTTAAACTTTTATTTTCTTCCCTTGTGTGAGCCATAAAGGGTGGTATTGCGAATGAGCTGTAGCATGCCCTCGTGGCTAGGGGGCAATCTAAGTCGAGACCATAGAGAGCTCATGTATGGCTTGTATGTACGGGCGCTATTTGCTCTCCCACCCGTGCTGGGCTACCGGGGACCAGCTCCGTGGGAACTCGGGGCCGCATGCTTTACCCTCCGCTTCCCGAACGGTTACCTGGGGGGGAATTGATATGAGGTAAATTCACTAAGGTTAAACAGATCTACAGGGCGGGTGGGCTGAGCGGCAAAGCTACCACTAGGTAGCCCTAGGGGGGACTGTATATGCGGTTTTTATTTTTATTTTTTAGATGAGCGCCTGGAAAGTATATTGTACGGAGGTCCCTACCAAAAAACGTTGCCACCCCCCCTTGTCCACCTGAAGTCTTGGCGTTTTTGCGACAGGTGCCACACAGCTGTATACGGCTGCCAACAGCAGCTCACTATAATTTTTAGTGCTTATAGCTAGTAACAGCTATTATCGATAAAGTTTTTTAGCGCGTTATTATTATGGAGACAGCACCATATACAGCGGCTTTAGTTTGGCTATATCTTACACCTGTCGAACAGCTGTGCGACACCTGTTGCAAAAACGGCAAGACTTCAGGTGGACAAGGGGGGGTGGCAACGTTTTTTGGTAGGGACCTCCGTAGTATTCATTCTATTCCACCCCCTTTACACTAGTGTTCGAGAAGACAGAGCGGATAGATCCGATCCTTCTTTCATCCCATGTAGTTGAAGCTAATCACGATCACAATACGTATAAATAAATAGCAGTAGCTAGGACTTTAAGAAACGATGGATGTCGTTGTGATAAAGAATATGTATTCCAATTTACCCCCGAGCACGCCGTCTTTCCCGCCTGCATTAACATAGTGATGCAGTTGGGATCCATAGCAATCTCGCGAGTTTTCTAGTGAGTCGGCACAGCCACTCCGGTTAACCTGTACTTAACATTACTTTACTCATTAGTAGCTACCAACGCTACATTAGATCTTCATAGTTACGTTCGCGTTCAATTTTGAGTTTTCCCTTCTCATTCTCACTTTATGTGTGTCTCGCTCTATGATGGCGTTATACCCTTTATTCTGACGAAAAGAGGAGACTAAACGCGACACGTCAGTGCTCCTAATAATGGGGAGAGGAGAAGGAGGGGGGCGAGGAACGGTGGGCTGTTCATTCATTGAGATTTCCGGCCAACACAGCATATGTAGGGCAGGTGGACGAAGTAACTTTGCATTGTTGTTAGAGTAGTAGACGATCACAACCACATAGTGTAATGGCTAATATGGTTATGTCGTCAATCTTGAGAGGAGACAGGTAATACTGCACTACAGATAGTTGGTTGCTGTGACCTCATAATACATAAAAGGGATGACGGTACATACATAGAGGGAGAAAACGAGAGGGGCTAGGCCGGGCCATCTAGACGATGGTTTTGGGTCGCATCTAGTGTATGTATGTACTCGTGGAGTCCTTCGGCAACCCCTTGACAAGCTGAAAAACAACAAGTGAAAAAGATTAGGGGACCAAGATTTACCTGCGTTTGCCAAGGGATCGTTGTTAATGGATGGTTTTGGGGGGGAATCTGTGGCTGGTGACGGCAAAGACGGCATGGCATGTTTTACGACCTGTAACGGAGCCAAGGACGGACAGTTAGGTAAACTGTGTATGACAGCGTGCATGAAGAAGTACGAACATCCCCGAAATTAGCATTAGCATTACACAGGTAAGTTCAGGTAGGTTTTACAACTCGTCTCTTGTAATTCTTCTCTTACACTGTTGACGTGGACTTGAACATCCCTTCAGCCCGTAGTGTAAGTGTGAGTATAAATTAATACCTTAAGTCATGAACCTGGAATTCATATAAAGAGATAATGGGAAAGGTGATGAATCAAATATCAGATTGTGGCTTGGTTATAAGGTGATGAAAAGTGGTAAGCAATCATAAAGTCGCTAAAAGCATGGAGTTGCGGTACCATCTATTTGGAGATGTAGCCAAGCTTTTTGGGAGCTTTTTTTGTAAGCGGATGTACCTGGAGCACGGCCTGTCGGACTTTGAGTTAACAATTTTATGCACGACAGACGGAGCATAAAAACGGACTGACATGATATACAGTTACATTACGGTCTGAGTGAACATTGAACCGATGAATTCAGGGGACTAACTTAATTAGCTACTAGTGTGGTCGCTAGTTTATATTTCCATGTAAGTGGTGTCGGCGAAACGGCACGCATTCTACTTACAGAGAGATCGATGCTAGGTTAGTTACCTTTTAGGAATATTCTAGTAGCATATACCTTACTTACGCCAATGCAAGCAAGCAGGGAACTATCGTGAACACGGCAAATTCCTTTATGACAAGCAAAAACAACCCTCGTTCCTCCATCACAGATTGTCTTGGTGGCTCAGTTGGCTAGAGCGTTGGTCTCATATGAAAATGACTCAATTCTCAGATTGGGCTATCCAAAGGTCGTGAGTTCGAGGTAAGTAGCCATAGGCGTTCAACACATACCTACTCTGGAATATATACCTAAAACTAACAAATAATCAGCCTCACCCAGGACAACCATCTATTTTTATATTTTTCTTGTTGCAGCTCACCAATCGCTAATGCAGTGGACATTCAATTTTCTCTTGTCCTTTCTCCTTTATTTTTTTAAGACTGCGCCACGCTGATGTATTGTCTCCGATATACCGATGCACGCTATGCTAGCAAAGTAATTCCGTAAATTACGTAAGGTAGACCAGGTCGCATACTGGGGACGAAACAACCCCAAGAGATAGCTAGCGACAAATGGGCAGGTAGTTATCGGAGTGGTTACGGAGTATTATAGTATCTTGAAAAAAGTTGAAAAATAACAGTTCTCTGTTGTCTCTGGTACGCGTGTGATCTTTTTGCAGGACGGGTCGTTATTTATTGGTCGTACATCAGATAGCTGAGATAAGTAGGCCTCGCAGTCCTTCTCTATGCAGTATGCAGTGCAGCGTATTTGATCCACTAATTAGTGAGAGTAGCTAAAATGGAACTGAACCTTTCAACTCGTTTTTGCTTATTCAAGTTTTGAAATCGTAGTAATTTGAAATCTTAAAGCAACCCCGATAAATAAAACAATAATAACAATAATTGTCCTCTTCAACCCACCTAACCTAGGTGCATGCCCAACTCTTCAACACCATTAAAAACAAATTTCCATTCTATTCTTTTCCATCCCTTTTGTTTTTGGGTTTTGGGTTATTTTCTCTCCCTCTCTCTCTTTTCCTTATCCAGATAATTCCGTGTTTCCTTCTTTTTTTTTCTTCTTCTTCTAATTCAATTACATTCATTCGATATTTTACAATACCAACTGACTAGTCGTTGTCGCCAAGAAAAAAAAAAGGGAGAGAAATGAAATAAAAAAGAAGAAAGGGGAATAGAGGGTTAGATAGGTACTTGTTTAGAGAGCTACTTATTGCTAACCTACGCTAGTGTTAAGGTAGGTACTTAGTTACTTTACATGTTCTTTTCCCCCCTTCGTTTGCTTTCCCCGTTCTATCCGTTCTAAAGCTATACCCGTTCTACCAACTCCGTATTTGTTGTACAAAAAAAATCCTTGTACCTGTTTTATGCAAATAACAATACGTTATTGGTTCGAGAGTTTACTGGTATCTTTTATTTTTTTTAGCGTATCCACGCATTTCATTCCCCCCGTTACCAACTTTCTCTTCTACAAATCTCAATCTCCTATTTTCGTATTTTCATTTCCTCCCTGCCTCCCCTTCTCTTCGGGTCGATTGCAGCAAACACGATTATTGTTTCCCCTCGACAATCTTGTATCTGTTTCCGACCCAAGTGAATAACAGAGGGAGAGAGAGAAAAAGAAAAGAAAAAAAAGAACATAACGTATTTTTCTTCTTCTCTAATTCAGGAGTCAGCAACAGGAGAGGCGGAGGAAGCTGAATCTGAGTCTGAGCCCAGAACCCAGAGTCAGCCAAAAAAAGAGAAACCCAAGAAAAATATCAACCAGAACCAAAGTGCCAAAGTGTCGGGAATTGGCCACGAATGAACTCCGAATAGCGAAATAATGCCCTCCTTCGTAAACAACGAGAACTCTCCCATCTATTCCTCGAACGCTGGCATAGTCCACCTCGACGATAGTCACCACGATCTTGCATTTGACAAGCTCTCCAAGGGTAAGGACCGTCTGCACGCCGCCATCACTCCCACGAATGAGACCTTCGACGACAACTCGTCCTCGCATTCCTCCAATAGTTCGGACCCAAGATTGCGTATGAATGGGGACGGGCCACATCCTTCGAGTATGACCCCCCTGGCAAATGGCAGGTTGAGCAGAGCTCCGAATGGTGTGATGTCTGAGATGGATTCGACCTACCGCTGGCCTGCACAGCAGTCCTATCACAGCGCATCTAACTACAAACTACCTAATGGCGACACATCTTCTGACGCCACGCCTGCAGACGGTCAACCGCCCAACCATTCGTCCAAGCCCATGCCTCCTGTGCCTGATATCGTCCAAGGTGACTCGACACAACCCCAAAGGTTTTCTTCTCCCGCGAATCTGCCCAGTACTTCCTCCGCCAACGCCAACGCCAACGCCGCCGCCTCGACATCGAACCCCGCTGCCCAACCGCCGGCGACCGGATTGAAGCACCGCCATACCTTGGAGGTTCCGAGGGCACAGGCTGGCCGTGGTTCCAAGGATAGTAATGACACAGCATATGCCAGCGGCCGCTTTTCCCCCACTGCAGCTGGACCGACCGGGCGCCGAGGGTCTCTGAGCCTTGGTCGGAGAAACACGCGACCGCAGAACGCCGACATGCCTCGCGATGAGGTTCTCCCCGATGACGATGCGCTTAGGTGGGCTGAGGCATACCGGCAAAAGCGGGCTAAGAAGAAGAAGCGGGAAGAGGAGGATGATGATCGGGTCCTGGTCGGAACCAAGGTCGACGAGAACCATGCCAACTGGACCACCGCGTACAATATGTTGACGGGTATTCGCGTATCCGTTTCTCGTACCAATGCCAAACTCGATCGTCCCTTGACCGATGCAGACTTCGACGCTAAGCAGAAATCGACGTTTGACATGTACGTTTCCTCCCCCCTCTCCCCTATCATCGGTTTTCTACTAACATGATGTAGCGCTGGAAACGAGCTGGTGCCTTCGGCCAAGTATGATTTCAAGTTCAAGGATTATGCGCCCTGGGTTTTCCGGCATCTTCGCGCTCTCTTTAGGTTGGATCCGGCCGACTACCTGATGTCGCTCACCGGGAAGTATATTCTATCTGAGCTTGGATCTCCGGGGAAGAGTGGTAGCTTCTTCTACTTCTCCCGAGACTACAAGTACATCATTAAGACGATCCATCACGCCGAGCATAAGTTTCTCCGGAAGATCTTGAAAGATTACTATAACCACGTTACCGATAACCCGAACACCCTCCTCTCCCAATTCTATGGTCTCCATCGTGTGAAGATGCCGTACGGAAAGAAGATTCACTTCGTTGTCATGAACAACCTCTTCCCGCCCCACCGTGATATTCACACTACTTTCGACCTGAAGGGCTCTACCGTCGGCCGGAACTACCAAGAGGAGAACCTCGAGAAGAATCCACGAGCTACCTTGAAGGACCTGAATTGGCTGCGCCGGCAGAGGCATCTTGAGCTAGGGCTCCAGAAGAAGCAACTATTCCTTCAGCAGCTTCAGCGTGATGTTCGGCTGTTGCAGAAGTTGAAGATTATGGATTACTCCCTTCTGATTGGCATCCACGATCTACGCAAAGGGAACGAGGAAAACTTGAGGGACAAGACACTCCAGGTATTTAACCCTGGCGGTGCTGGGCCGTCGGAAGAAGGTTTTGATCCCAGCTCCGTCCTCATGAGGACACCGTCTAAACTGGAAAGCGCACGCAAGGCAAGGGAGCTGAGACAAATGATCAAGGCCGAGCGGCCAATACCGATGGAACAAACTAGTGACAGGATGCCGGACGAATTGGCCGAGGGTCAAGGCCGGGGTGGCGTATTTTACAATGACGATGGTGGTCTCCGTGCAACTCACGATGATGATGAGCCCGGCGAAGAAGTCTACTATCTGGGCGTTATCGACTGTCTGACACACGTGAGTTTAATTTCCATTTTGCTCATGGAAGATGTATTGAGCCCTGTATCGTATGCTAATGAATTTATAGTACGGCATGATCAAGAAGATAGAGCACTTCTGGAAAGGCCTTTCCAATGACCGCTCCCAGATCTCTGCCCTCCCGCCGGATGAGTATGGGGAGCGATTCATCAAATTTATGTCAGGGATAACTATGTCTGCGGATGAGGCCGAAAGAGACGCACGTGATCGAGAAGCTGCTGCAGCTGCTGCGGCAACAGAATCGCAGGGAATGTTGCAGCCCGAAGATGGATCGACCTTTCTTCCGCCGACAACTCCGGAATCCAACTCAACGGTAGAGAAGGCCTCTAAAAAGGCTAAGAAAGACAAGAAAGCTGCTACTGAGGACCAGGTACCTGGCCGCATTATCACGACTATATCCCCCCCTGGCGGAAGAAATAACTCGCATGCCGTTCTACCAGTAGTTGAGGAGACAGCGGCGGAAGGGTCATCCGTTGAAGGACGAGGTCGTGACGACAACGCAAGCGAGACACGCCCTTACACCCCATCACTTCACGATCGGCAAGATGGGTTCACTGAGCTGGGACCTCACGGAATTGGAGGTAGGGGGCCACCGACGCCGCCCAAATCTAGTTATCTGGAGCCGGTCAACAGCTACCCTGATCAGAAGAAAGGTGGAAGCCTCGCAAATTTTGGTAGGATGTTGCGGCACAGACTCAGCCGTGAAAGCCTCAACCGTGATAATCCCAGTCGTGAAAGCCTAGACAAGTCATTACCGCCAGTTCCTCGATAAATACTATAGTCCTTTTTCTTGATATTTCAAAGTTAGGCGCTAGGGCATCAAGGGCGACTGCTTTTTCTACTTCTTGTTTCCTTTTTTTTTTTTCGAAGAGAAAATAGTCTCAGTTCAGCAAAGAGACTAGCACTGATATAATATTTTGGAGAGGGGAAGGGAGTCGAACTTTTTTAAGGGTAGAATACCTAATGAATCATAGAATGGGGCCACTACCAAGCAACATCGAGTCTCCAAAACCAGAAACACGGAAAAAAATCATTTGGACAATAAACCGATATACCGAGGCGCAGAGATTATAGAAAATGCCCCTCGAGAGGGACACAGTTGCATGTATACACTACAGCGAAGAGGAGCAAAAGGGGGAAGGAGGGTTTTTTATATATACCTCATGGTTCTCTTTTCTCTTTTCTTATAAAAAAAAACTTACCAAGAAGTGGCCAATTTTTTTGTTTGTTTATAGTGGGGATTGGAAGAGAAGGAGGGAAAGGATAAGAAATGGGGAAGCAAGAGGGAAGATGGTCCTTTTGTGGCTGAGTTGGGTGAATGGATTAAAGGAGAAGGAGGAGGGGAGTCAAGAGGGATAGAGGGTAAAGG